GGGGAGGAGGGCAGAGGGAGGACGCACTGGGGAGGAGGGCAGAGGGAGGACGCACTGGGGAGGAGGGCAGAGGGAGGACGCACGGGGGAGGAGGGCAGAGGGAGGACGCATGGGAAGGAGGGCAGCGGAGGACACGCAGGGGAGGAGGGCAGCGGAGGACACGCAGGGGAGGATGCACAGGGGAGGTCGGGGTAAATGCGTTACCTGCCAGGGCCCAGTACGAGGCTCCAATGTACTCGTTCAGCAGCACGAAGGCCACAAGCGACATCCCGCCATTGGTGACTCCGACTATGAAGCGGGTGATGAGGAAGATGGTGAACGACGGTGACAACGCATTCATCAAAGAGAAGGAAAGATCCAGAGCCAGACCTGCCGGAGACACACCGGTGTCATGTGACCCACCTCATCCCCACATCACATCGACTGACAGAGATCAGACCGAGGAGACGCAGGAGGAGGACAGGCCGAGGGGACGCAGGAGGGGGACAGGCCGAGGGGCCGCAGGAGGACAGGCCGAGGAGACGCAGGAGGACAGGCCGAGGAGACGCAGGAGGACAGGCCGAGGAGACGCAGGAGGACAGGCCGAGGAGACGCAGGAGGACAGGCCGAGGAGACGCAGGAGGACAGGCCGAGGAGACGCAGGAGGACAGGCCGAGGAGACGCAGGAGGACAGGCCGAGGAGACGCAGGAGGACAGGCCGAGGAGACGCAGGAGGACAGGCCGAGGAGACGCAGGAGGACAGGCCGAGGAGACGCAGGAGGACAGGCCGAGGAGACGCAGGAGGACAGGCCGAGGAGACGCAGGAGGACAGGCCGAGGAGACGCAGGAGGACAGGCCGAGGAGACGCAGGAGGACAGGCCGAGGAGACGCAGGAGGACAGGCCGAGGAGACGCAGGAGGACAGGCCGAGGAGACGCAGGAGGACAGGCCGAGGAGACGCAGGAGGACAGGCCGAGGAGACGCAGGAGGACAGGCCGAGGAGACGCAGGAGGACAGGCCGAGGAGACGCAGGAGGACAGGCCGAGGAGACGCAGGAGGACAGGCCGAGGAGACGCAGGAGGACAGGCCGAGGAGACGCAGGAGGACAGGCCGAGGAGACGCAGGAGGACAGGCCGAGGAGACGCAGGAGGACAGGCCGAGGAGACGCAGGAGGACAGGCCGAGGAGACGCAGGAGGACAGGCCGAGGAGACGCAGGAGGACAGGCCGAGGAGACGCAGGAGGACAGGCCGAGGAGACGCAGGAGGACAGGCCGAGGAGACGCAGGAGGACAGGCCGAGGAGACGCAGGAGGACAGGCCGAGGAGACGCAGGAGGACAGGCCGAGGAGACGCAGGAGGACAGGCCGAGGAGACGCAGGAGGACAGGCCGAGGAGACGCAGGAGGACAGGCCGAGGAGACGCAGGAGGACAGGCCGAGGAGACGCAGGAGGACAGGCCGAGGAGACGCAGGAGGACAGGCCGAGGAGACGCAGGAGGACAGGCCGAGGAGACGCAGGAGGACAGGCCGAGGAGACGCAGGAGGACAGGCCGAGGAGACGCAGGAGGACAGGCCGAGGAGACGCAGGAGGACAGGCCGAGGAGACGCAGGAGGACAGGCCGAGGAGACGCAGGAGGACAGGCCGAGGAGACGCAGGAGGACAGGCCGAGGAGACGCAGGAGGACAGGCCGAGGAGACGCAGGAGGACAGGCCGAGGAGACGCAGGAGGACAGGCCGAGGAGACGCAGGAGGACAGGCCGAGGAGACGCAGGAGGACAGGCCGAGGAGACGCAGGAGGACAGGCCGAGGAGACGCAGGAGGACAGGCCGAGGAGACGCAGGAGGACAGGCCGAGGAGACGCAGGAGGACAGGCCGAGGAGACGCAGGAGGACAGGCCGAGGAGACGCAGGAGGACAGGCCGAGGAGACGCAGGAGGACAGGCCGAGGAGACGCAGGAGGACAGGCCGAGGAGACGCAGGAGGACAGGCCGAGGAGACGCAGGAGGACAGGCCGAGGAGACGCAGGAGGACAGGCCGAGGAGACGCAGGAGGACAGGCCGAGGAGACGCAGGAGGACAGGCCGAGGAGACGCAGGAGGACAGGCCGAGGAGACGCAGGAGGACAGGCCGAGGAGACGCAGGAGGAGGACAGGCCGAGGGGACGCAGAGTCAAATTCATAGTCACCCCAATATCTGAGTCCACGCCCCTCCCCCGTACCTGTGAGATAGACGGGTTTCCTGCCAATTCGGTCCGATAATTGTCCAAACACGACGACTCCGATCAGAACTCCCCCGAAGTACAGAGAGCTCGCCATGCTGACCTCATACGCGGCTCCGCCCACCAGAGACCACTGCCAGGAGACATCCAAGATGGCGGATGTGACTACCGGGATATGCGCAGCTCACAAACGCTTGTTACATTGTATTCATATATACCCAGTCCCCTGTGGCACTGTACTCACCGAGCCACGCCTCTCCTACGGCATTGTACTCACCGAGCC